ATTTGTCATCGGCCCTAATAGGGTAAACAGACCCTGAGTTGGTCGTCCTCGACCCCGATCTTCGACTGGTGGACGTCGGCCCAGGTTACCGTCAGGTACCCTACCAGATTTTATTTTCGTTGTTGAGAGGCTAAGGAACTTCGGGGGTTGAGCCCCTGAGTGAATGCCTGAACAGCTCAATCATATGTAACAGGTGGTAGGTCCATCTATTCCATCTGGAATCTTGACACGAACTCCTTGAGCATCTCGTTATCCCTTTGTTTGACATTGAAAAGGTCTGACTTTTTGGTCTCGACTTTGATAGCCCCGGCATGGACCTTTACGAAAGCATCTGCAAGCATAGCAAACGAGTTAATAAAATTGGGAGGCAAGTTGTGATGCCATATCATCGCTCCCTTAGATAAAGTTTCCCCAAATTTCTTTAGCAACACCGACTGGATTTTATCATCTCTTCCAAATCGTTCCCTTTGATCGCGCATGTATAGCAGGTCAAATGCTCATTCGGGTCCGTGGTCCCGTTATATTTGGGGATTTCGGGCATGCGAAGCCTTTTTGGGATCGATTTTGGTGCCGCACTCAGCAGAAAGGTCTTCTGGATAAATTTTTTGGAGTCCGGTCCCTTAAATATCGGGGGTGCTCCTGGGACCTAATCGATCCCGGGGTTGTATGTTTCCACTTTATTATTTCTCGCCCGACTCCACCCTTTTGGTCAACGCCTCGAGAATCTTTATCACCTCGGAAGTTACCCCGGTCTCAGCTTCCCCCAGGATCTCGATAATTTTTTCGTCTCATCACATGCTACCCCGGAGAGTGTTTGGGTTCAACCATGTTGGGGGCGTGGTTTTGATTCTGCAACTGTGCGATTGCTGCCTGTTGGGCATGTAACAATTCGAAGCAGTCGCAGGCTCACCCTATCATCCCCACCTTCGGGCGCTTCTCGAGCTGTTGGTCGGGGTCCTCCGCAAATGCTATTTCTGGGATCAGTTGGCAAATTGATATAGATGGCACCTGCGAGTTAGAATCGACCGGGTCGGCGGCTAGGACGCTGTTGGGATCGGTGGGAAGCACATCATTACTAGGCACCATGTTATTATTTTCATCGTGATGGCCTAACTCAGCATCGACATTCAAGTGAGCAGACTAAGAGTTTGACATTTTTTGATTGACCTGGAATTAAGATCTCAAAGAACAAACGTAAAATAGGGTGTGTTATAGAGGTTCGTTTTAAATCACCACTATTATCCTTAGCCCCACTGTGGGCGCCAAACTATTTACCCCAAAGTTGGATAACAATTGAATTCGTACGCGGTTTAAGGATACGTAATTTTATCTAACACGAATAATTAAGAATAATGGACAAACGAATTAATGATGAAGCAAACAATCAAACCGCTCGCAATGTTAAGGGCAAGACTGATCTTGAATTGAATAATGAGCTCGTCCTCGATTGTATCCTCGATTTAGGCACAATCGCGAATAAAGAACAGAACTAGTAAGCAAAACTATCAATAGTAGCTTAGAGAACAAAAATAAATTTTTATTTCCTTGGAATGCATGTTACAATGTGTCAGATACAAGAAAAACTTCCCCTTTATATAGTAGGAGAGTGTATAAGTCTAAAAAAGGTAAAAATTTTCTTTTTGCGATAATTTGTTGTTCCATAATCGAGATCGAGAAGATTTGCACCGTGATATCCGGTTGAGGGCGGCTATCACGACCCTCTATCCGTCATGCACAATCGTTCACCGTATCTTCCGAGGTCTAGCACTCACATTCGGCTCGAGCGCATGGCTTTATCATGTCCGATGTCGGATATACTATTCACTTTTTCGGGGTCTCGATACAAAAGGCCTTTGACCTCGACTGCGTTCTGTGCTCCCCCTCCGTTCTCTAATCGGGGGACCGGGATAGATTTTATCCCGATTTTACCCGTATACAAAAATAAAGGAGGAGGAACCTTTATTTAAGTCGTCAAGAATGTGTGCATATTTAAATAGATTAATTACTGAAAAAGACAGAAGAAACTTCAATGTTTCAAAATGGACGGTGTACACCTTCATGTTAGCTTTTCACAAACACACGGACGCTTAGCTTGAAACTACGGCAATCGTGTTTATTTTATCCAATCTAAACGAAAGAATCTAACTATTTGACATTTTCAATTCATGAAAGGAACAAGAAATTGACTCCTACTATTGCATGTCATTTTCACCAGGCTTTAACGAATCCTGAGAGTTTGGACTTTTAGGTTTGAATATTTTTCCTTTTTTCATACACAAGCAGTTGGACACCTTTACAAATTTGTCATTTTCATGAAATATAGTGGGCGTTTGAACATAAGATTTGTAAAATTTCGAAGAATAAATGAAAATGGTATTTGAAAATAGAGTGGTGTTTGGACATGAATATATTTTTGGGTTATTTTTATATTTTGTGAGTGATCTGAGTGAATTTTGAAAATAGTTTTGTGAAGTTTTTTAAATTTTCGAAAAATTTCAAAATTCATGTTCAAATAAAAATTGAAATTTTTATGGCAAAAAATTAATTTCGAAAAAAATTGAAAAAACTCTTATTTCTGACTTGAAATCGCTGATGTCAAGCAACCGTAAGCACAACTTAAAAAACTTTTCTCTACGTAAATAACTCATGAAAACAGTTTTATCGTCATGCTGTCGTTTAGTGTATTACATAATTGATTAATTTTGATTTAATTAATATACGCGTCAATAATTCGTTGAAACGTCGCTTTAATTTGTAGTGCTGTATTTTTTATTTTTTATTTTATTATGTGATATATTTGGTATTTATAGTTTGTTTTTTCCCTCGGCCGCGTAAGAGGTTGTTGAAATAACATTTTCTTGAGTAGAGAATTTCAAAGTCCGAAACTTAATTAATGATTTTTTGTACAAAAAGCACTTTTTAATATTTTAAAAAAAAAGTTACATTAATGGATACTTCGCAGTTTTATACTGCGAATTGCTTGAGATGGGCCCAGCTCATTTTTCAAATAGCATTTCGCAGTATTATACTGCGAATTCGGCTAATTCGCAGTATAATACTGCGAATTTGGCTAATTCGCAGTATAATACTGTGAATTAGACTGAACTTAGGCCCCACCAATAATTAACTAACATAACAATAATTCAAATACGTAAAACGCAGTATAATACTGCGAACTACTTTGAAAAATTGTACACCCCAAGCTCGGACTTGCCTTATTTATAGACGTTTCAATTTTATAAAAATTCATTCAACACTTAAACTTCAAACATACGGTCATTATTCTCTCTTCTCCTTATCAATCAATTTTTTACAATGTCTGAAGTGCCAAAAATAAGGATTTCACTGTATTGGGGAGAGGGGGGGGGGGGATGGGGGTGAGGTTGTGGTGGAGAATAACTCTGTGAGGTATAGCTCACCTCCACAGTGTCATGTTAAATTGCCGCTTAATATGGAGTACGATACATTGGTATCGTTGTTACGTAAAAAAATGAGTGAGCGGAGGCGTTCGGTTAGCCTTAAAGTAACCGGTAGATTTCCTTATTCAGTGACTCCGCAGGGGTTTGCTTATTATTCTGAATTTAACATCGAGGATGATGAAACTCTTAGAGATTTTTTGCAGATTCCGGACGAATACAAGGAATTTATTGTAATAAAATTATTGAAAATGTACGTGAAGGTGGAGGACCTTCCTAGTAATGAGGGCGTGCATAGCAGGGATAATCCCCAGTCATCGGGTGGTTATTCTGGAGCAGCTTTTGCCGGACAGATTGCAGATGAAAGAGCTTGCCTTGATTTAAACTTGTCACCACAGGCGAATGAGCAGCCACAAAATAATGTTTCCACTTTATATAATCTACAAGACGACTGGTAAACTTCAATTTTACTACGTTTTAGCGATTTTTTTTTTCATGTTTTAATTGGATTTGTATTAACACTCATATTTTTTATAGGGGGTATCGTCCGGATTTGAATTTTACAAGTTATGACCACGGTGGTCCATCTAGAGTTATCACCAACATGAAAATATCCATCATGAAACGTCAAGACAATACGATTTGTAAGTAAAGTGATATAGCGATATCTAAAGTATTTTTCCTGAGTATTGGGTAACTTATGTATTTGTTCTTTTTGTGCAGTGAAAACGAGCTTATTGAAGCTCCTGGCCTCACATAGTTGCCCATAGACGACGTTTTTACTCGTGATTTGGCAGATGCGCAGAGTCAGGAGGATAATAGTGATTATGACAAAGCCCCCAACTCCGAACTCCGCGTCATGTCCATCGGCAGGTGGGTCGACAGGTACCTCAACGCCCCCTTGCTGACCACCTCCTCGCCGTCCCCTGCGACCCCGTGGGGCACCCCTGCCTGGTGGGGGACCCCTCGCTGGTGCCCTACCCCTGGCTCGTTGGACTGGCCTACCCCACTGGTAGGCCTCTGGAGCCACATACTGAGGCTTATGGTCTAACCTCTCGGCATCTCTCGCCTGCAACAGTGTCAGACGAGCCATCTGAGCCACCTCCCGGCCATACTCAACCACTTCAGGGATGTCTGAACGCTGCTGCATCTCCTGTCCCGACTGGTAGATGCGATGAAGCCCAATAGCCTATGAAACATTTAAAATAGTAATTAAATAACGCTATAACACAATTATAAGATATTAATAAGTCACAAAAACATACCAGTGCCTCGTGCCTCCCGACGTACGGTCTGTAGCGCTCGCCAAGTACATGAACGGGGTTCCCGATCATCATTCGGGTATGACGGCGGTACCACCCAGCATACAGATGAGTAGAGGCCTCCTGGAAAACTGTAGGTGGTAGCGGAATGCGCTCAGCTCGGTCCTCCCAATAAGCTATCTGCTGCTGTAGCCATCCAATATACTGTCGGTCCATGTTCGAACGGTCGTCCCGCTGATAGTGTGTAGGCTCCCATCTAGGCCCCCTCGGTATAGGCTGAGGACGGCCAAACTGTCGAAGCACACGCTTCGTGGCATGATACTTAACGTAATCCCAGAAGATCAACGAGACGGAGGTGCTTCAAATCAGTCGGTCGACTGAGCAACAAGCGGGTAGCTGACCAAGCAACTCGATGCTGTATGGCGTCCAGATGAACTACCAATAGTAACAAAAAAATGAGTACGCAAAACACAACTCAATTTAAAACAACCAAGTGTAGGTACATATTTACCTGTCCGTCCACCAACATATTTAACACATCCCTAAGAAGGGGGAGATTATGATGAGCATCCATCCCTCGGTAGGTCCCACGCCGGAGAATCCACCTGATAGCTAGAGGGAGAAGCGGATAATCCTCACCGGGCGGGAGTAGTGGTAGAGGTGGCTGCAACAGCATGATCCGCTGCCAGGCCCAAACCTAAGATAAAATGTTGATGTAAATTTATGAGTCATTTCACGATATAGAATTTGGGGTAACGAACAATGTTTTCGGAAATTTTTTGCACCTGTAGGAGGGGCAGAAAACCACATATATCAACCGCTGGACCTACGCTCGCCCGGCACATGCTCCTATATAGATACGCCAGAACAGTAGCACCCCAGCTGTACTGTGTTAGCTCATCCAGCTGCTCAAGACAATGGAGAAAGCGCATACTCACTTTACTCCGCGAAGTGTCCGGGAACAAGACACACCCGAAAAGAAGGAGCAACGCCAACCGATTGTACCTCTGAATCCAAAGATGGTCCGTCTTGTGGGTAATATCTGGGTGAAAATCCGCCATCTGATCTCTCATGAATGACAAAGCCACGCGACTGCCACCCCGGTCACCCTGAGGTCTAGAACCAGTCAACTGCCCCATCATGTCCGCCAACTGTGCACGAGTCATCCCTCTCCGGTGGTGGGGCAGTGCGAAGGCGCGTCCCTCTACGCGCAGTCCGTATAAAACCTGGACATCCTGCAGCGTGATGGTGGCCTCTCCAGTGGGCAAGTGAAATGTATGCGTCTCCGGTCGCCACCGCTCTACCAAGGCCGTGATGAGCGACCAATCAAGCTGCATCCGTCCAAGCTCAAAAATGGTATATAATCCAGTAGCCTGGAGGCTCTCTACTACGCGCTCATGGAAAGGATGCTCGGCAAAAAACTCCCACAAATCATCAGGCCTCTTGGGGCGGAGAGCCTGCATCGATAGCTGTCCCTCCCAAACATAGGAGGACCTATGATCGCCCTGCAGCACTAGTAGCTGATCCTCGGCAGGTCCAAGATGCGCAAGCGGAGGAAACGCCATGTCGTCTACTATAATTTAAACAAAATTAATTGTTGGTGTTAGTGTAATAAATTAAATAATTAAGTATGATTTTTGAATTGGAGATAATAGTTATGTATGGGTTCTAGGGTTGATTTTTGAGGCCCGGTACCACCGAATAATCCTTAATTATTATGCGTCTCAATTTCAACATTTTTAGAATTTTGTTAACTTAATAAATTAAATTATAAATTTTTGAATTGGAGATAATAGTTATGTATGGGTTCCAGGCTTGATTTTTGAGGCCCGGTACCACCGAATAATCCTTAATTATTATGTGTCTCAATTTCAACATTTTTAGAATTTTTTTAACTTAATAAATTAAATTATAAATTTTTGAATTGGAGATAATAGTTATTTATGGGTTCCAGGCTTGATTTTTGAGGCCCGATACCACCGAATAATCCTTAATTATTATGCGTCTCAATTTCAACATTTTTAGAATTTTGTTAATAAATTAAATTATAAATTTTTGAATTGGAGATAATAGTTATTTATGGGTTCTAGGCTTGATTTTTGAGGCCCGGTACCACCGAATAATCCTTAATTATTATGCGTCTCAATTTTAACACTTTTAGAATTTTGTTAACTTAATAAATTAAATTATAAATTTTTGAATTGGAGATAATAGTTATGTATGGGTTCCAGGCTTGATTTTTGAGGCCCGGTACCACCGAATAATCCTTAATTATTATGCGTCTAAATTTCAATATTTTTAGAATTTTGTTAACTTAATAAATTAAATTATAAATTTTTGAATTGGAGATAATAGTTATGTATGGGTTCCAGGCTTGATTTTTGATGCCCAGTACCACCGAATAATCCTTAATTATTATGCGTCTCAATTTCAACATTTTTAGAATTTTGTTAACTTAATAAATTAAATTTTGGAGATAATAGTTATTTATGGGTTGTAGGCTTGATTTTTGAGGCCCGGTACCACCGAATAATCCTTAATTATTATGCGTCTCAATTTCAACATTTTTAGAATTTTGTTAACTTAATAAATTAAATTATAAATTTTTATAATTGGAGATAATAGTTATGTATGGGTTCCATGCTTGATTTTTGAGGCCCGGTACCACCGAATAATCCTTAATTGGAGATAATAGTTATGTTTGGGTTCCAGGCTTGATTTTTGAGGCCCGATACCAGCGAATAATCCTTAATTATTATGCGTCTCAATTTCCACATTTTTAGAATTTTGTTTGCTACTGAGACTCTACGCTAAAAGGCTCTACATTTTACTACGCTAAAAGGCTCTATACTTTACTTCGCTAAAAGATACTATATTTTACTACGCTATAAGGCTCTACAATATGAACATAACATTAACAATACAAATAAACAAAATAAATAATATTATTTAACAATACAAATTATTTATCAAATTTTAATACAAATTATATAAGAATACAAATTATTTATCAATTTTAAGCATTTTTGGTCACAAACATAACATAAATTCGGGTATCAAATAAATCAATCCGGGTACATAAAAGATACAAAATTAAACACAAACATAACATAAATTCACATGGAAACATACTAAACAATACTAATATGCATGACTATACGAGTTTCGGCATAAACTAAATTGAAATACCTCGATGTAAATTTTTTTGTAATATTGTTTGAAAATTTGAATTTTTTGCACCCGAAACCACGGTATCCAAAGCTTTTTTTGTATTGTGTGACCTTACACGCCCTTGTCTCTTTATTGGGACGGGGTTGGGGCCCCGAGTTTTTTTTT